CACATACTCTCTCTTACACACATACATACTCATACATACACATTCACATAGAGAGAGAGAGAGAGAGAGAGAGAGAGAGAGAGAGAAGCAATCTTTAGCCAGATTAGGCATGTTTGTAAGAGTTTTGCTGCCCTCTACTGGTCACTAACAATAATACTATCAGCTACAGTGTTTTTCTGATGCCAAAAAACAGTGGGCAACATTTTCAAACTACTTTTCAAAGTTTTCTTTGAATAAAAGAAGCTATGTAGTCTAGTAGTTAAGCGCTTATGCTTTGGAGTTAGATTCCCTCAATCCAAACACCTACTGGTTGTTTGAACCTGAGCAAGTATTGTGTGACTTGCCATGTCTCAGATCACTGACAATAAAAAGGTAACTATGGAGTAGGAAGGGGACTTGGTGGTTCAGCTCTTGCCAGCAAGTATGAGACCATGATATCCTCCCCAGCACTGAAAAAAAGTAAAAGGGATAATAGGATTAACTGAGTTAACATTTACAGACACTTAGAACTATGCCTATCATATAGGAAAAAGCATCATTGAAATGTCTGTTAAATCAGAACAAATTATAAGAAGGGACTAGTAAGCTAGCTCACATCTATAATCTTAGCACTTAAGAAGCTGAGGTAGGATCACTGAGAGTTCAAGGCCAACCTGGGGCTACATAGTAAGTTTCAGAGCAGTCTGAACTGCAGGGTGAGACCCTGTCTCAAAAATTGCAATAAAGCCAGGCATGGTGACACAGTCTTTAATCCCAGCACTAGAGAGGCAGAGGCAGGTGGATTTCTCTGAGATCAAGGCCAACGTGGTCTACATGGTGAGTTCTAGGCCTGCTGGGGCTACAAAAAAAAATAATAAAGTCTCTGGGTATCATTGTACACCTTTAATTCCTATATTCTGGAGGCAGAGGCTAGAAGATCTCAGAGAGCTCAAGGCCAGCCTGGTCTATATACTGAATTCCAGGAAGCCAGGGCTGCATAGTGAAACATTTTCTCAAAAAGAATTGCAGAAAAGATTTTCATTATATTTAGGTCATACTGACAATAATTTATATTTTTGCTAACTTGGAAACATTATTTAACTTCTTTAGACTTCTTATACCACTTAATAATAATTAAATGCTGGGAAATTTTTTTAAAATATGTTTTATTATATAGAACAGCTTAATATTCACAAGAAAATTTAGAAGATAACAATTTCCACATACTATAAACTCAGTTTCTCTTATGATTAGCATCTTATATTAGCAAGGAATATTTGTTACAAAAGTTGAACCAATGTCGATACATACTAACTGGAGGCTATAGTTAATATTGGCACTAATATTCAGATTCTGTTAGCTTCAGCCTAATGTCCTTCTGTTATTCAACAGTATCGTCTTGGGCTGGGGATGTATTTCAGTTGATAAAGTGCTTGCACCCATAATGCCAAATGTGATGGTACTGACTTGTAACCCCAATACTCAGAAGGTGGAAGCAGGAGGGTGAAAAAGAGAGAGGAAAATAAACAAGATCCCATCCAAGATTCCATGTAGTATTCGGCAGTCACGTGTCCATAGTCTTACTGGTTACAACAGTGCAGGCCTTCTTTGCTTTTGGTCTCCTCAACAATTTGGGGGGATATCTGTCAGTATTTGTATAATATCCTTGATTGTTTTTCTCATATTAGATTGGAGTTGTGGAAAGGAAGATTGGAAAGTTATTGCAAAAGAAGATTAGAGTGTCAAAATACTGTTTTCATCCCACCAAATCAAGCATACATACTATCACCATGATTTGTGACTGCTTGATTGTGACCCTGACCACCTGGCTGAGGTGTTTTTTTTCTCCACTGTCAAGTTCTTCTTCCCCCTTTTTCATAGTTTTAGAGGGAAGTTGTGGTGCATAGCCCATCCTTAAGAAGTGAGGATTCAGGCTGAAGAGATGACTCTTTAGAGGCTGGAGAGATGGCTCAGCGGTAAAGAGCACTGACTGCTCTTGCAGAGGACTTGGGTTCGGTTCCCAGCACCCATACAACAGCTAAAACCCATCCTTAACTCCGTTTCCAGGGCATTCAATGCCCTCTTTTGACTTCCATGGGCATTGCATGACACTGGTACACTTACATACAGGTAGGCAAAACATTCATATACATAAAATTAAACATTTTTAAAAAGGGTCATAAGTTTTTACAGAAATGATTGATTTTTAGATTTGGGTAGGAAACAAGATGTATTGCCTGCATGTATGTAATTGTAACCATGTCATGCAATGCCTTGCAGAGGCCAGAAGAAGGTATCAGATCCTCTGGAAATGGAGTTATGAATGGTTGTTGGCTGCCCTGTGGGTGCTGGGAACCAAACCCAGGTCTTCTGCAAGAGCAACCAGTGCTATTAACCCTGAACCATATCTTCAACCCCTACTTATTCATTCTTAATTTAAAAAATTCTTATTTATTATTTAAGGGTGTGTCGTAATGAACATGTGAAGTCAGTTCTCTCCTTCCAGCTTTATAAGTTCAAGGGATTGAACTCAGGTTGTCCAGCTTGTGTAGCAAGCACTTTTACCCACTGAGCCATTTCACTGGATTTATTATTTATTTATTTATTATCATTTTTTGAGACTGTGTCTCAAGTATCTGAGGCTGGCCTTAAATTTTCTAATCAGCTGAGGGCAAACTTGTACATCTCTGATCTTCCTGCTTCTACGTTCCAGGGGCTGGGGTTACAAACATGTACCACCATGCCCAGTTTATGGATGTTAGAATTCATTACAGGACTTTGCACATGATAGTCATGCCCCCTACCAACTGAGCTACATCCCTAGCCCTAGCCTTCAGCTCATGCTTACCTGTATAAAATTTCATTCCAACAGTGAGAAAAAACTCCTTCCACCTGCCATCCATTTACTCAGGGATTCAGTTCCTGTTGCCCTGTATTAGCAATATTAGAACTATTGACCCATACCCCAAGTGAAATGGCTCTAGCAACTCACAGGTGTTCTCATGGGTGTTTGCGTTTGTCTTCTGTCTTTTGACTTGCACACATTTCCAAAGCTACTTGAGGTCTGCGCCTTCCCTGGCTATCTTCTTTGGTGGGGTTGTTTCATACATTTTTAATACATGAGATTTTTCCTGTCATGGTATGCTTTCCTTCCTGGGACTCTCCTACCTCCTAAATAATTCTATTTTAGTTTGGATACTTTAAGTCTCACTCTTCTACAGGTTTTGACAAATGCATGGCATGTTCCGACCACTGCAGCATCCTACAGAGTGCTTTCACTTGTGTTTTAGATCTCCGTTCTGTCCCTACCTGTGTCCTGGAGGAAACTCGGGTTTTCCTGTCTCTATAGTTTTGTCTTTCTTTTAAGAAATTTAAAAATTATTATTGTTAGTGTGTGTGTGTGTGTGTGTGTGTGTGTGTGTGTGTGTGTGTGTGTGTGTGTGTGTTTGCCAGGTGCCCACGGAGGCCAAAAGAAGGTGTCAGATCCCCTGGAGTTGGAATTACAGGCGGTCTTGAACTGCCCAATGTGGGTGCTAGGAACCAAACTCAGGTCTTCTGCAAGAGCAGCAAGCACTCTTTGCTGCTGAGGTATTACCCCAGCCCCTATAGTTTTACCTCTCTAGAACATCATATCATTGGAATTACACAGTGCATAGCCATTTCACTCTATCTTTTTTCACTTAGTAATGCACATCTAAAATTCCTTCATGTCTTTTCATGGCTTGAATGCTCATTTCTTTTTTACTTCTGAATACTGTCCCATTGGGTGAAATTAGTTTATTCAGTCAAGTAGTGTCTTAATAATTGAAAATGTAATGATAAAGAAGAAATTATCAGGGCTGGAGAGATGGCTCAGCAGTTAAGAGCACTGGCTGCTCTTGTAGAGGACTCAGGTTTGGTTCCTAGCACCCGACATGACAGTTAACAACCATCCATAACTCCAGTTCCAGGGGATCTGATGCCCTCTTCTGATCTCCACAGGTACTGCACAACATGGGTGCACTTACATACAGGCAGGCAATATGCTCGTGCACATAAAATTAAAATA